AGAACAATTCGATCGTGATTTATTCCCGGGGCTGCTGGCCGCTCGGACAAGGGCGCGAGCGGTTCTCCTTTTATTTTCCATTTACCGCCACCGGCAAACATCGCACAGGGGATGACGTCATATCCTCCGGAGAGGGAAGCCACGAACTGAAGCTGCCCGCGGGGCTGAAGTGCATCACGTCGCAGTGGATAACTTTTGCCAGATTTTTTTACAATTGAAGAGCCTGAGGCAATAACGCGCGAAGCTGTGCGAGGAAAAAGTTGCGGGAAAAAAAGGAAGTTTCTTTTTTAAAAGTGTTGGCAAACTTGCAAGTAAACGTCAGCTGACAACTTTTATTTACGTAGCCTACTTACGATTCATTTATACAGGTTTTGTCCGCAAATAAATCTTCGTACTTGATTTTTTCTAGATGAAAGAAAACATAGCAACTGAAATTCTAAATTAGTACAATACAATGAATACATAGAAAGGACAGTTTTAATGAAATATTTAAAAATTTAGTAAATACAGATTTGAAAATAATTTTGTTGGACAAAGTAATTACGTAGAATGCTCAAACTTGAAAGACTGGCATATATTTTTGCAGCATCGTTTAGAAATTCCTAAATAATTATTTTGATGATCCAACAAAGTTATTTTAGAATTTGTATCTAGTAAAATTTTTAGTTACTTCAACAATATCATTCTTTCCATGTGAAATTTCAGGATAGATGAACTATATAATGGATTAAATTTTAAGATAAATGTTACTGTCTAAAAAAATATTTTTAATAAAATTTTTATTTAAGAGAGTTATTTGAATTTTAGAAAATCTTCTAGAAAAAGGAAAAATTTCGTACATTTTTCCTTTATTATAATATAATTTTATTTAAAATTTCATGAAAGAGTGACGTATTTATCACAACAATATATACATATATATATGAATAATTGAATAATTTATTTATCATAAAACTAATTGATATTACGAACTAATATTAAGAATTTTATTTAGCTGTCCATTAAACTGACAAAGTACGATTAGAGGAGTTACCATACAAGCGATTGTTTGACCGCGGAAATTCGTTGGAATCCAAATCTCTGGACGGGTGGATATGAGCACACTCCATTTAATAGACACGAAACTGTCAGTACGATCGCCCGTAGCGTTCCACAGCAATTCCGGATAATCCGCTCTGACGGTTACACCTCGGCCGTAATCCACGACGTGTGCAGAAATAACGACGTACGTGCCGATCACACGTATTTCTTAGCGGCAGCTGCCGGACGCGTATGGACGTGTATGTCTCGAAACAGCGCACCGGTTTATATCTCATATCTCTGAATAAAAAAGTCAGAAAAGGCAGATGGCATAATCCCGCCACACGTCGAGAAGCACAGCCCTTTCGAGGATTATGCGGCAGAGAAAGCGAAAGATGCATTGCGGCTACTGAATATCCGACAGACAGCTCTATCAAAATTATATGTATGAATGAAGCGCCGATGTGCCATTTTTAAATCCGGACACGGATTTGCAGAGATATGAGTTCGTGAAAGACGATGTTAAATGAATTTATCAACGCAAAGTTATTTAAGTAATATCCAAATAATATTTGACATATTTTCTGATTTTATTAAAGAAATGTATTATATTAAATTTATAACGTCAAATTATACTCAATTTGAGTTATTTTTAATCATTTCTATATAGGTCGCCTTGGTCTGAGTTTTTTATATCTACTGCTTCAACTCCGAGTTCTTCGTGATCCCAGATAAACAACTCGTACTAATCATTTATCATTAGTATGAGTTGTTTATCTAGAATCACGAAGAACTCGGAGAATTGAAGTTGTAGATAAAACTACAAAAAAAAACTACAAGACGATGGTGACCTACATATAGACATGAAAAAGATGGTTTTATTAAAAATATAGTAGAAGAACTGAAAATTAAATTATAGATCTGAAAATAATTTTATTGAACTGTTAAAATGATTATGTAGGACGTTCAAAGTGATTACTAGAATGGTAAAACATTTTCAGCTCATCATATTTAAAATTCCTACTAATTATTTAGATACAATAATTTAACAAATTATTTTCAGATCTGTACCTAGCTAAATTTTTAGATATTTCAGCAAAATCGGGTAAGAAAAATTTCAGATATTCTATTTCCTGTAAAAGCAAAAAAAAATAACGCTTAAATTTGCGGATTTAAAATAAACTTTAATTCTAAAATCATATTTATTAAGTGTAATTTTTACTTCAACAAAATCGTTATTTCTCTATAATGAATGTACGAAATGATAAAAATATGTTGTTCTACTTTGAAAAATTGGCATGTCACTCTCGTCGAGCTCGACGATTTGCTTTTTGCAACGTAACACGATATCCAGTTCCTGCGGCGGTACCGTACGTGATAAGAAACGCGCAAGTTCAGTAATGCTCTGGTATCGGGAAGAAGAAGAAGCAGAGGCAGGCACGAACAGGAAGAAGAAGTCGATGACGGTGAAGCAACGATCGATCGATGTCGATCAGTATCGAGATAAAAAAAAAGAAGAGACTCCCCAGCTCGCATCTCGGTGTAACGCCTCTCGCTATTCTCTCGGTGCGGCAAGTTTTCGCCACCCCGCGGTTCTCATCACACCGCACAGATGACGGGTGCCGTCGCCTTGCCACCCCAAATACTTGTACTTGTCGCGAATACCCGGGGTATAACGAGGAAAGTTTGTGCCGGCGGACATTGCCGATCGCGGCTCGGCAAGAAGCGACCAA